GAAAAGGTTATAGAATGGAAAAATCTAAGCCTGCCCGTACATATGGTGTTGAAGAGAAGGATCAGATGATGACAGGAAAGGAGGAAGATGGTGAAAATCATGCTGGTGTGTAAATTAAACTTTCATTGATGCCCAATGCTTTTTGAACATTGGGAAGTCAGTCAGTCACATATTGAAAGAACCGTTTCCAACTTCACTCAAAATAGTAGAAAAAGGAGGTCTACCCATATTTTATAGGGAAATTATTGCAAACAAGTGTAAAACATGTGTCAAGTCAAAATAGGAGTATCCTTTGTTCTTTCCTAAAAATATGAGTTACTTCTTTAATAATTCTTCTTAATGGGTCAACTAGTCCTATTATTCAGAAAAAATTGCGATGTTTTGTAGGAAGAAATGTGTTATGTTTTAGTCTTATTTGTTTTAGTCTTATTCAGACTTATAAATTGAATCCTGCCATTATTCTGATAAATTTAAACATGCCTCTTTATGAATAATAATAAAATTGAAGGGAGAAAAAGTAACATTGATTCAGGAATAAAACTGTTTATTCATATTTTAGGAATCACCACCTCTTTTAGTCACACTTCTAATAATTTTCTCTCTTCTCAGAGCATGTTTATGACCTAATTTGGTATTGTTCTTCCATTTAAAGCTACAACATCAAATTTCTCCTAAAGTTCATTTGTTTAACTTAAAAATAAGCTCCAAACAACTTGAAAGTCAAAGCAATAAATATGCTTTAAACCATTTATCTTTTCAAGCACATCAGGTTTTGACAAAATTTATAATTGCTTGGTAAAAATCACAAGAGTGACCCAACACATCTATAGTGACTCGCACTTTATATCATACATTACCATATTAAATCTTTATTCGGCACATGTCTTGCAAACCATTTTTCATTCAAAGTTTAGCTCTTTATAACAACACCAAACTGCAGGTGGTGAAGAGAACCAAACTGCGGTATCTCGGCTTGAAGTGGCGGGTCCCACATGTGACCCAGCAATGACTAAGTCAGTGCCTACAAGGGGCAGTGAAGTAGCTGCAAGCAGTTGCAGCAGAAATGAAGACAATGCCAGTTACCCAATATCTTCTGATTTGCCCCTTCCGAGAACGCCCTTAAAAGAACTCCAACCTTCAAGTAGTTCTGAGCCTATTGTAGCTCCATTGCCTGAATCAACCCTGAAACAGATTGAACGCACTGCTGAAAATGATGTGCAAAACTCAACCGTAAAAGAAGGAAGTCAGCTTAAAAGATACAATTCTATGCCTATTCAAGCCTATTCCACACAAATAAGAACTTCTTCTTGTTCACATAAAAGGAAGGGAAAAAGTAAAGCATTTTCAGATGGTGATGAGGAAGAAGACACTAGCCATGAGAGTGTGGAAAGTTGCAACAGTACGAGGATGTCTCTTGGCGGGAACAAAAAAATGAAAAAACAATCGGAAATAGATTCTTCTGATGTCACCCCAAAAGCTGGTGGAAACAGCTCTTTCATGACGTGGATTTCGAGTATGGTGAATGGCTTCTCAAATCCAAACCAAGAAGATGAAGAACAAGAGGAAGAAGGTGCAGAACAAGAGGAAGTTCCTTCTCTTGCCCTTGCTCTAACTCGTTCTACCCTCAACCATGTGGGGATTAATTACGCAGCAGCCATTGACAAAAACATAGAGTTCCAAGCCAAGTTTCATTCTCTTTATAGTTCACCGGAAAAAATAGCATCAAAAGACGAAGTTTCTGCTGGAGAATCCAAGGATGTTTTCTTAGATGACAAGATGGTTATTGAGGTTTCTCCATTAACATGCCACCGGGAGGAAAATTGTGATGATAAAATCATCGACACAACAGACATGGAGGAAGAAGCAGGGGCTTCTTCTCCTAAATCCCCAATAATGTCTCAGAATTGTAAATCAAATACCCCTGAAAACAAAGAGAAAGCAGGAGGTAGCTCTTCTGGTTCAATGTGCATGCTAAGAACCGGAAACAATGGAGAGAGCATCAGTCCTAGTCACCATTCTGAAAACAAAGCAACAAAAAACACATCGGATATAAGTTCCCTTCAAAGCTTCTGGATTACCCGTTTCTCTGTCCGTGACCCAAACACGGCCCTAAACTTACCCGAATGCAGAGAAAATAAAGAGGAGACAGCTAATTGTGCTAAGCCTGACCTTAATGTTCTAACATCTGAACAAGCTGTCTGTAATAACAAAGATACTGACTTAAAGGGGACTTTTCCAGAAGATCCGGATTATGATATGTTACTGGACATTCCGCGTAATAATACTCTAGCAGACGATGCTTCCATTGCATTCAAAGATGATAAGAAATCCATACATAAATTAAACCCCATTACACCTTCCCAAAAACTGAAAAGCTCAGAGGCAATGACATCATTGTTTGCAAGGAGATTAGATGCCTTTAAACATATCATACCTTCAGATTCAAGAAATGAAGCAACTTGCATGACAAAAGCGATCTGTTTGTTCTGTGGAAGAACTGGGCATGACTTACATAGCTGTTTGGAAGCAGATGAGATTGAACAGGAGGATCTTTTGAGAAATAATGTGTGTTCATATGAATGGGCAGCCGAAGGTTCTCATTCTTTTTGCATTAGATGTTTTAAGCTCGATCACTGGGCTGTTACATGTCCAATGGCATCTTCAGGAGGAGGGCAATTTTGGGGGAAACAAGGAAATTATTGTTCTAATGGCTCTAACTTTGTCGGAAAGGAGGAAGGGTGTTCTAAAGTTATGGTGAATCACATAGGGGGAGGATGGAAAGAGAAATCTAGATATTTCACTGATGCTAATAGCCTGGTTCATAATCTGAAGTCAAGTGTGCCAAATGGAGCTTTTGATGCTATTAGGAGGTTACGTGTGTCCCGTGGAGATATCCTCAAGTAAGCATATTAAGAACCTGTTGGGTTGGTTTATGCTTTATGCACTTTTATGAGATGGTTTTTTGTCATAAGTTCAAAAGTAATTTCATCTTCCTCCAGAATGCCCAAATATGGTATTTTCTTAAGTAAGCTCAAAGAAATGCTATTTTAAAGATTTACCAGGATTTTCTTTTATTTCTCTCCACACACTTCAAAGGTAAAGTACTGTTCTTCAGATAGAAAGTGCTTTATCTTCGAAACTTTGTCATCACAATTTTCAAGCGCACTTAAGGAATGCTTTACTTTTCCATTAGTAATAGTGTTTTCATAGATCACATTTTACCCTTCTCTCTTCTTTGGGTACATTAAAAAAATAATCTATTCTATTTTTAAACCACGGTTTTAGCAAGGGTTATTTGGCTAAAATGCATGGACATGCAAAGCTTTTGAAAGGGACAGCATTTGTTAAACCAACTTCAGCCAAAAAGACATGTAAATTTGTATCTACCTGTGTTTGTTATGTATGCAAGGATTGACTAACTACTGTTGGGTTTCTTCAGATGGCTAAACTCCAATGCCTCACTGTCCCACTTGGATGGTTTTTTCTTGCGCCTAAGATTGGGAAGGTGGGAACAAGGCGGGTTAGGAGGAACAGGCTACTACATAGCTCGTATAGCTGGTATATATTTTTACCCTTCACAGAATCTCTACATTGGTTGTTAATGGGATTATGGGAGAAGCATCTCTTAATTTCTTGGCTAATATTAACTGTTGAATACCCATAATGCATGTATTGTAAATAACAGAGTCCCAAAGAGACCATTCAACAAAAGATTCAAAGTGCATCTCAGTAAGTCTTTGTGGCATTGTTTGCTCCATCGGAAGCCAGTATGTCTCAAACCAAGATTTTCTCGAGGTACACATTTTATTTCTATTTACAATTTAAAATAGTGAAATAGTGTTTTGTGGGGTGCACTGGACACATTTATCACTCCTTGGACGAATAGAAAAGCGGAACCTTCAATGAAGTCAATGGAAACTCACTTCGCAGGATGAACTTATGACCTGGTGGTGCAAGACTTCAGAGACTGGAGGCAAGATTCCATCTGAAGATGAGCTGCGGATCAAAGTTGAAGAGAGGTTGAAGTTAGGAATTTGAAATCCAACACCAAAAAAACAAAATGCAAACCTGCAAGGGGTTGCTTAATTGATTGCCATGAAGAAACATAATATTGATCATGATATGTTCCATTTCCAGTTACAGAACTGATTTTGTACTCATTCACCATACATACAAATGTGTATTCTTTTTTGTGTTGAAGGTGACAATTATTTTCAGTAATCTTTGACATTATGATGAATGAAGAACATACAAACAAATTAGCAAATCATTCTGAGTAATTTAACTAATTTCTGAACTTCATTTGAGCAAGGATCTTCAATATTTCCAGTCAGTAATAAATTTAGCACGGGGTATCATATTTTAATACGGAGTATTTTATACAGAAAATGTGTATTATTTTTTTGTTGAAGGTGAAAAAATAATTTGTTGTTATCTCCAACATTGTGATGACTGAACATACAAATATTTAGCAAATAATTATAGGTAATAGTGCTTGTAGTTAGCACAAATCTTCAGAGCTTTTCAGCAGTAAACAAATTAATGTAATATTAAGTGGAATGTTCCTTTAGTTGTAAGGAAATGACGAACATACAAATATTAAGCACATTGTTCTGAATAATACTTGATTCGTAGTAGTAGTAGTAGTAAATTCTGAAGTTCATTTCAGCAAGAATGGTCCATTTTCTAAAGCAGAAATAACTAAGAATCATACTAATCCAGCAAAAATCTTCAAACATTCTCAAGCAGTAACACATTCAACATTCACTGTATTTTTTCATACATTGTGACATTGTGTGATTTTCAATCTGTAGGTGATGAAGTGAATGTGGCGCATGTTTTTCCATCCCTACAAAAGAAACAGCAGCTCATTTTGACAATTCATTTCAAGACATTAAAGTACGGAGTATTAAACATTACTCATTGTATTGTGGTTAAAGAACATCAAACTAATGGAAAATAACAGCATTCTATAAGTTGAAATATCTAGGAAACATCGATGGCAATGCAACTCTTTTCATTTCAGCACATAAGTTGAAATATTACATAACTGAGTTCAAAACTACTAAAAGCTATTACCACCAATGATCAATGGTGTCAATGAAAACTTATATCATAGCAAAAGCTATTGAATTATCACAAAACCTGAAATTTACAAACCCTAACCGAAAGTGATAAGTTACCCAATCAGGCAAGTGAGGCAACTAATTCATTTCCTAGCCTTTTTGGCAGGGGGCTTGATTGTCTTGCCCTTCTTAACCGGCGTCTTCTTTAACTTAGATAAAGCCACCTTCTTGACCGGCGTCTTCTTTAACTTAGATACGACGGCCTTCTTCACCACATTTTTCTTCAGTGCGGCGGCCTTGGCCGGTGGTTTTTTAACCGGAGTTGAAACCTTTGTCTTCTTGCCAGCCTTTGGCTTTTCAGCGGCAGTAGTAGCCTTCTTCTTCGGTGCTACTGCGGGTTTTAAAGGTTTACCGGCCTGAGCGGTGGCGGTTTTTGGATGGGTAAAAAGCTTATAGGACTTCTTCACCCTCATAATCTTTTCAGAGGCGAGGAGTTCTCTAATTCTGGCAGATAAGAGCGTCTTAAATAAGGAGGGCGGGGGCAAAGCCTTATGCTCCTCAATGAACTTCGCAATCGCCGGCCTGCTCGATCCATTCCTTTCCTTCAACGTGCTAATTGCCTCAATAATCAACTAGGTTTCCAACAAATGCAGCCATTAAGATCATTTAAACACAAATTCAATGATTGTTCATCGAAGACAAAATACGGAATTATAAAAACCTACATCGGAATAGCTAGGATTGCGAATTTTCTTAATGTCAGCATCTTTAACGGCCTTGTCAGTGGCGGCTGGTTTCCTGGCCTTAACGGTGGCGGAAGCTTTCCCGACCTTGCCAGTGGCTGCTGATTTCCTCGCCTTAACGGTGGCGGAAGCTTTCCCGGCCTTGCCAGTGGCGGCTGATTTCCTGGGCTTAATGGTGGCGGAAGCTTTCCCGACCTTTCCAGTGGCGGCTGATTTCCTGGCCTTAACGGTGGCGGAAGCTTTCCCGACCTTTCCTGTGGCGGAAGCTTTCCTGGCCTTGCCGGCGGCTGCCGATTTACCGGCCATAAGTTCGTTAGAACAGTACAAAGTCTAGAAAACGAACAAAAAGCAGGGAATCTCAACGGAATGTTAGTAGGAAATCGAAGTGGCGCTGGATTTATATGAAAATACACTGAAGGGGAAAAAGAGATGCGATAGGTCCAAATGGGGAGGCGCGGATTGCAAGTTTTTGAAGAACAGTTTAAACTGTAATCGTCGGATTAAAACTTTATCGACGGGCGCAAAAGCATGTTACTTAGTAGCAAGGATCGAGAGGTAGAACGAATTCATGAAAGATAATGCCTTTTCTTTTGACTTAAGGGTGTGGATTGTTGAATACGGGGCGGGGTCTCCAAAGAGGTCTGTCAATGGACCGGGTCTAGACCTGGACCCGATTTTTTAAACGAGTATGAGTATAAGTTTTATTTCGTCTACCCGAATCCGAAATCGGACACGTTACCTCGTTTGTATTTTTTAATAAATGGGTTGAGTATGATACATATGATCCTGGCCGTTAAAGACCGCACCTGTTTAAAATTATTAGTAATACAGTACTCTGTAATACATACCTAACACTAGTGCCTGATTTATATACATTAATACATACTCAAGTCTCAAACTAATATCCTTATACAGTTCTACCCAAAAAAATTAACCCTTGTGGGCCCGGTAGGCGCGCGAAGCCCAGAAAGTGTTGTGACCTAATATTTTATTATTCTACCAGACTCCAAACTCCTAAGTACCAATATTCTTGTGTGAGAGAAAGAAACGACACAAAGCCGCTGCAAGCCGTAAATCGAAAAAAGAGAACGAGAGATTGAGAGAGCTATATATTACGCTAATAAGCTCTACGAGAATCAATCTAAGCCTCAAGAAGTTCCTGATTCCTGAGGCGTTCGAGCCAGTAAGAGAGTAAGAGGTAACATCTTGCCTTCTTCAATCTGTATATGTGATTTTAGTTTGTTTCATACTTCCATCTTTATACAGAGATGTCACTTGATATTGATGAATTCAGTTTGATAGTTTGTATTAGCTAATATGATTACTATGTTCCATGTATTATCTTTCTTAAGTTAGTTCAAGCATATTTAATTCTCATTACTAGTTATCATCGTGATTTAGTTACCATTTTTAAACGGAAGGTTAATAATATTGCCCCATTTTCCATACATTGATTATTGTTGGTTGTATACATTATATCTTTGTACATCAAGCTTTCAAATTTTTGTAAATTAGGTAATAAATTATTAGTTTAGTTGCAATATAATTTAATATACATTAATTTATTTTACAGATGTCGTCTCAAACCGATCCAAGTCAGCTAACTCATCCAAATCAAGACACACCAGATAGCACTGTGGATGGAATTGAAGTTCAAAATCTGGATTCATACCTTGAGGGGCTCAATGAAGGATGAACCAGTTGCTAAAACGTGTCAAAGAAAACTAAAATCCAAGTGTGGAATGATATGAAGAGAGTTGAAATTGGGTCTGATTATGTTGCCATTTGCAAGAAAGGTCTTACGATCATATTTTGAGACGACCAACGCCAAAGAAGCAGCGTGAATCGCTGACCACCGAGCGAGCAACATAGAGTTCTTCGTATACTTTAAGGTCACCTTACTCTTAACCACATCAATAAATTCAAAATATCCGAACAGTCCACTGAGCTCCTGATCAAACTTAGTAAAATTCGCCCAAAACTTGGCGAAACTTTTCGCTGGACATACGGAAGCTTCGAGGTAAATAACGGCCATAAGCACCTCAAGAAAGCCACTAACACAAACAAATCTAAAACAAAGTAAAAATTCTAAAAAACATAATTAAAGCTGTGAAAGGAATATAAAGCAATAAACTGTGTGTGGCCAAATCCAAACTTAAAACAACGTCTTCTCAACCATAGTCACACGATCCCTCCACGACAGCTATTCAAGAGGGGACGGAGTGACAGTACTGCATCTTCTTCCTCATTTGCTTGTTATCCACACGCCAATCATCATCTCCTTGGTGACAAGCCAAGCCATGACTAAGAGCCCGTTTGGTAGCACAAAAATCGGCTGTTTTGGCTGTTTCTGCTGAAATTTATGAAGTTCTGGCTGAAGTGGCTGTTTTGGCTGATTCTGCTGATTCTAGAAAAAATATTTTAAAAATATATTTTATTAATAAAATAAAGAAAAAATTACATGTAAAAATAGCTAAAATGGTCATGTACAGTAACTTCAGCCAATACAGCCAGAAAAGTAACTTCAACCTTACTTTTTCTGCTTATTACACAATTCAGCACGCGAAAGTAAAAATTACGTGTTTGGTGAAAAAGCTGGCTGATAAGCCTGATAAGCCGAAAAAGGGGGTCTCCAAACGGGCTCTAAGTGACCAACCAAAACCTTCTGCCAAGAGCGTCTGGTTGCCGACTCCTTCCCAATCCCCTGGCGCCCGCTTTCTCCAAAGAGTGCTCCGAACTGACCGCTACACAAACCATTGCCGCTCGCCTACCGCCTGAACCTCGATCTATTGCCACCAAAGAGAAAGCGCTGCCCCAACAAAACCCTCAAACCCTACAATCTCCATTTAGAGTCCATCTTCTCTAGGCCCCTTTCAGATAGCTACTTCTAGAGCCCCACAAAATTGTTTCCGCCGGTGAAAGGCGCAAGTAGCGCAAGTTGCAAAAGAACCGAGTCGAGTCGAATAGTGAGATTTTGTATATGTATTATTTGTTTAATTGTTTCAAATACGAATCCAAATTCGAATATGAAAATAATATTAATTTCGATTTGCATTTGTATTTGTTCAACAATATGAATAGTTAACGAATCATATACGAATATCGAATCGATTTGATCATAAGTCAAACATTAGTCAAATATCACTTCAAAATAATTTTTACTATATTTTTATGTTATAAATGCATGCCATGACTTAATATGTGTTTTTAGAATTTGATTTGTATTATTACATTTTCTTAAAAATTAATGGCTCAATGCACTTTTAGATCGTGTACAATATAATAAAGTGAATCAATTTTATGATTTTTAAATATACATCTATTTCAAACATTTTGAAATAAACACTAACACACACATATTAGAAATTATACTTATAATGTGTGAAATAAGTTGATAATTGTATATACCAAAGATAAACTATTCTAATTTTATGTTAGATATTTAGCATTGTTGCTATTAAAAAACCATTAGATATACAGAGTATAATTTAAACTATATATATACACACATATAGTGGATAGTTGGTGCACACACATGTATATTAGGTAATTGATTTTGTATATCTATAAACGAATATATTTGATTGTTCTTTGAATTGAATACATAATTATTTGTATTCGTATTTGAAGGATATTTGAACCAAAAAGTTGATTTGTATTTGTATTTATATTATATATTTTCAAATTTAAATCATAATTTCTTTTATCTAAATCACAAATCGAATTAAAATTATTTGCTTCATTTACATATCTACTCCCCATATGATACTTCTGATTTATTACAAATAGGCTTGAAATTTGTATACATAAATGTATATATGAGCTACACTTTGCGGGTATAGCTATATTTTAATAATTATTATAATGTTATCACTATTATTATTAATATTATTATAATTATTATCACTACTGTTTATCGAATATATTTGATTAACATTCGAATCAAATACACTGATATTCTTATTTGTATTTGATAACAATTCAAATCAAATTTAGTATTCTTATTTATATTTGTATTTAAATTTTTCGAATTCAATTAGCCTTATACGAATTCGAATCGCGAATCGAGCACTGATGCGTACTATTTAGTAGTGCATAAACACCACATTTTAGAATGGTTTTACATTATGTTTACTTAGCTTTTGTACAATTACGGTGTAATCTTTATTTTCTAAAATTAAAGTAGAATTAGAAGATATTAAGATATTTTGACATGTAAGCAAAAACATGATGAAAAGAAGAGGAAGGAGCTTGGGAGCATAAGGTAGGAGCATTGGAGACAAGAGGAAGCTTCATGGAGGACAAAGAAATGTGAAAAATCGGATATGATTTGACCTGGAGATCATAAGAGATCAAATAAAGCAAGTGAACATGAGAAAATAAATCAGATTATGTTTTAGACCCAACCACCTCACTTCTCCTATAAAATCACCCTTTTTCTTCCTATTTGAGATATCAATTAATCCCCTCTTTCATATACACATTATTATTGTACTTTAGGTAGTCTTTTGAGCTTGGTTTTGGTCTTGAAGCTTGTTGATTATTAAAGTTGTGAGTTATTTTCTTAACTTCTTCCCTTGAATATTAATACTTCCCTTAATCTATCTCTATATTAATGTTGAGGAGTGTTGCTAAGATGACAATTAGTTAACATCTCGACATTAATTACTACTAGAAACGATCAAAGAGCCGATGGTTAATCATTGATGGTTTCACAAGTAAGTAACTTCGGTTTATTAATGCACGGTCGTGGTTAATAAACTTAAGAGGGATTAATTGTGTTGGTTAAACCGAAACCGTTGTGTTGAGGTTACCAATCTCAATTGATTTCATCAAGGAGTTAAGAGATTAATGCTACTATCAAGTCGGTATATGGCGGTGTTCTATACTTGACTAATAGTAACGGTTATTAATGAACGGTCGTTGTTAATAACTACCCTCGATGAATTGGAGATACTCCTCAATTGAATATTTGAGAGGGGATAAGTTATAGATATAACAATGATCGACTAAAATATATCAACAAGTGGAAAGTAGCAAAACAAAGGTTGATTACCTTTGATATTTTATTTCCCTCATTTTAGTATTTTATTTTCTTTCTCAATTATCAAAATTTCCAATTCCCCTTTCCGTTTACTTTTATTAGTTACGCTTACACATACGTAAAAAACACCTTTCCCTGTGGATACAAACTCTACTACGCTATACTACGGTATTAGCCCTTACTAGTGAGTTTAATTTGTGGCACACTACGACAAAGTGCTCGTCAAATTTGGCACCGTTGCCGGTGAAATGCTACACTTTTATGTGTGTTTGTGTAATTTTGTTTTTAATTTTCTTTTATGTTTTTTTCATTTACCTTGAATAAATTGAAAAGAGCGGGTGCACAC